GCACTATTGCAAATTTCCTATGAATATGAAATTACATTAAAAGAAAAAAGAATAAAAAAGAAGAGAACTAAGGCCGATAAATACACATGAGATTCAGATAACTTGTGGATATAACTTTTGAGGAGAGAGAGAAGAAGACAGATTTTGAAGCAGTCTCCAGGCTTCAAGCTGTCAGCACAGAGCTGGATGTGGGGCTCGAACCCACGAACTGTGAGATCATGACCTGTGTCCAAGTCAGACGCTTAACCTGACTGAGCTACCCAGGCAACCCCTTAGTAATGTCCTTTATGGCAAAAGATGCAGACATGGCATTTATTTGTTATTTATCTTTGCTGTCCTTTGATCTAGAAAGTTTTCTTAACCATTCCTTTGTTTGCATGGCTTTGACACTCTGAAGGTTGGTTATTTTGTAGATGGTACCTCAGCTTGGGCTTGTCTAATGTTTCCTCATGCTAGATTCTGATTATGCAATTTTGGCAGAAATATTACAATTGTTATTATGTGTTCTTCTCGTTGCCTATTTCTGGTAGCACCCAAGTTTAATTTTCTCATTACTGGTGATGCTATTTGATCACTTAATTAAAGTGGGATCTGGTAGGTGTATCAACTGTAATGTTATTATTTTTCTGATTATTTTTTGTTGTCATTAAAAATAATTTGGGGGTAGACACTTTAAAAAACATTTCCACTTATTTTTTTGTCATTTAATTTTTTAAATTTTTTTTAAAAAAAATAATGTTTATTTATTTATTTTTGAGAAAGAGAGACAGAGAGAGAGAGAGAGAGAGCGCAATCAGGGGAAGGGCAGAGAGAAAGGGAGACACAGAATCCGAAGCAGTCTCCATGCTCTGAGCTGAGGTGTCAGCACAGAGACTGATGCAGGGTTTGAACTCATGAACCATGAGACCATAACCTGTGCCCAAGTTGGACACTCAACCGACTGAGGCACCCAGGCACCCCTAACTAATTTGTTTCTCATCATAGTCTTGCTTTAGCAATCATTGATGCCCCTCAGCTCTCAGCTAAATTCATTTGTTTTATGCTATTTGTTAAAATTGGTTGATGGATGTTTTTGACACGTCTCTATTTTTTTTTTTTTTAATTTCTTTTCCTCCTGGCACAACACACTGTTCTAGGCTTATTTTGTTCTTTGTTCCACTGTTAAAATCAGTCATTTTTACGAGAAACCCTGGTTACTTTTACTGAAGAATGGCATTTAGAAACCAAGAAGTAGGGAATCCTGGGTGGCTCAGTGGTTAAGCCTCAGACTCTTGACCTTGGTTCCAGTCATGATCTCATGGTTCATGGGTTTGGCCCCACATTGGGCTCTATGCTGGTCGGGTGCAGCCTGCTTGGTAGGCTCTCTCCTTATCACTCTACCCCTCCCCTGCTTGTCTCAGGCTCTCGCTCTCTTTCTCTCTCTCTCTCTCCGAATAAATAAATATATAAACTTTAAAAACAAACAAACAAACAAAACCAAGAAGTAGGTACCAGGTTAACATGCTCTTTGCTGCTGAGGTGTTACACCTCCCAAGTCCTCTCAGTGGATAGAGACAGCTCAGAAACTATCTTTTCCAAGTAAGATTCCTGATAAAAAGAAGTCCCTTGTAGAAATGGCTGAATACACACACACACACACACACACACACACACACACACACACACCCTTATTTCTTTTCTCCTTTCTATATCTATCTACATACATTAAAACCGTACTTCACACAGGTAACTCCACTCCAATACCCAACCATTACCCCAGGGTTATTCTACTTTTTGCTTTTTATCTGCTAGTCCAAAGGTGAGATAATTACTTCAGACTGTAATATATTTTATATATTTACTGATGTTACTCATACGCTTGTAGAAATGAGCATTGCTGCCTCCACCGTTTTACTTGGTTGGACCCTGCATAACACTGATTAGGGTGCAACACTTCTCTGTGGGTTGCTGTATCTCTCTTGGCACATGGAAACCTTCTCACCTGCCTTGGCCCCACCAGACCACTGAAGCCCCCTCCAGTCTATTAACTCTGCTGACTCTCTGACACCTGGTCCAGGCTGTGTGTCCCCACCCACATACAGATGTCTACCTTGCTTTGACCTAGGATTTAAATATAAAGGAGACAAAAAGAAGAAGAAAGAAGAAGAGAAGGAAGGAAAAGAGAAAGGAAAAAAATATTTTTGAAATAAAGGAAGTTCAAAGGGTAGCTTTTTCCTGTATTTATCACTGAATATATAGCACAAAATTTCATGTGTAATTTTAGCTGCTTTAATTTGTTGTCCTTTTGAATCTAAGTAATCTGTTACAGTATAAAACACTGTATATCAAAGGATCTGTACCTTTTATTAGATCAGACAGGCCAATGAGATATTGAGCTGTGATATTTACATCTGTTTTGAAATATTTAAATTTCTGTATAAGATTTCTCTCATATTGTATTTAAAATTACATTGCACTTTCATTGTTCAAAGTCTTCAGAAAAGACTAAATTTCATAAGCATTAAGTAAAGAGGTGCCATCAAAGGAATAATGTGTGTAAATGTTGATTTTTAAATGTCGGTTTCCCATGCAAGATTCAGGGTCTAATTCATTTTTATTTCTCTATTACAATTTCAGTTGAATGTACCTCTTTCTGAAACAAATTTTAGGTATGTATTTATCACAAAATTTTAAATATTAGGAAAATTGCATTATTCAATAAATATTTCCAATAACATTTTAGCTCTTGCCTGTAATGAACCTTTTCTACTTTTGAAGCTGAGGGAAAATCAGTAAGTTAATATTTTCATTAGAAGGATGGGTAATAGACACGCCCAGACCCACCGTCAGAAGGATATGTATCAAATATATTTTCATTTTTCAATGAAACATTTTATAGTAAGAAATGTGAAATATGAAGAAATGTGAGATATTAAATGTTTCCTGAGAATTTAATAATGTCTATTCATTATGAATATAACATCTTATTTTTCACTTTTTCTAGAATTACAAGCGCTTAAAAAATTTTATACATCTAGTCATTAGCATATTTTACATACAGATACAAACTTACATCATCTCTAAAAAGACCATGTAAAATAGAGTATCAGTATTATTATAATTATGTATACATGTATTTATCACTTGCCTAGTTAGTATTTATAAAAGTTCATACTAATTACAAGGAAATCCATCTAATTTCCTGAGGCTTAGAATTAATATAGGTAGTGAGTGCTTCTGATCAGTATAGATGGTGCTCACTTCAATTTATTATCAGTGAGTTTTGATATGACTTTGCACATTTCATTTTCCTAGAATTTAACTGTGTTTGCAATGGCTTATTCGTACGCCTAAATGTGAAGAGTGTACCTCTCATGATTTTCATTGAGATTAATTTTCTGATAACATCATGATAGATAATAAATATTCATTTATTTCCTTCCTTCCCTTCCTAAGTTCCTTCTCATCTCAATATTTTTCTTCCTCCTTCCTTTCCTAAAAACCTTTCACACAATACTTTCTTGCTCTTCTCCCTTAGTGTAGCAAAACTTGATCTGAGGAGTGACAGGTTCCACTTACATAATATTTGAGTATTGATTAGCTTTGTAAACTTTTAAATTTCCCTTTTAATCTTTACAACTAATAACATTACTTTGGGGGTATATTTATATCATATCAGTATCATATATCAGTATCATATCCGTAGAAATAAATATCTTTCTTAATTTAATATAAAATTATAGTTATATACTGGAACCCTATTTAGGAAACAGTTTTAAATATTTTCATAGAAGGTATGTCTTCTATTAAAACATAACATTATAATAATTTTCTGATATTTCTCTACCTAGTCTTAAAAGGCAATAAATTATGTTTTTTTCTATCACAGGAGCTATAAAAATATACTATAATGTGTATCTTCTGATTTCTAATCAGTCTTCTAAAACATAATGGCAAATTCTATATAAATGTATCTGTGTTTTATGTATAACTGTTATTCATGTAACTAAAAACATAACTGGATTTCTAGTTAAAATGAATTGTATTCTACATGCCATTATTTCTGTATCTTTAAGCTTCTGGGAAAGAACTAGAATGTTTTCATACACAAAATGCAACAGTTTTCCATGGCAGTTATATAATCTTAACTTTTCTATTTGCCTTAAAAATAAGTTTACTATTTCTACTTTCAAGTTTGAGATTTTAAAACAGATTAATTTTGGTTTGTTTCCTATCAAAATGTATTCTATTTTTAACTTTTTGATAGGGTTCTAACTTTACATAAACTATAATTTGCTTTCTTTTTTAATGTTTACTTGTTTATTTTTGAGAGAGAGAAAGAGAGAAAGCACAAGCGGGGGAGGGACACAGAGAGAGGAGACACAGAATCTGAAGCAGGTTCCAGGCTCTAAACTGTCAGCACAGAGTCCAATGAGAGGCCTGAACTCATGAACTGTGAGATCATGACCTTAGCCTAACTTGGATGCTTAACTGACTGAGCCACCCAAGTGCACCTATAATTTGCTTTCCTAAGACATTTTCCCCGAATTCTTTCATAGACAGTTCACTCATAAAGTTGGGCGATAAGACTCAGAGTTTAAAATCAGTCTTGATTATGGGGTGCCTGGGTGGCTTGGTCAGTTAAGTGTCTGACTTCAGTTTAGGCCATGATCTAGCAGTTCTTGAATTGGAGCCCTGCATCAAGCTCTGTGTTGATAACTCAGAGCCTGGAGCCTGCTTCAAATTCTGTGTCTTCTTCTCTCTCTGCCCCTCCACTGCTTGTACTCTGTCCATATCTCTCTCTCAAAAATAAATAAACATTAAAAAGTTAAAAAAAACAATCTTGATTAATAAATATATTCTAAGTCCTCACTATCTTCCATCGGATTAAACTATTCTAAAATTTTAAGAATTGATTTATTCTTCCTTATAATAACCTGTTTCATGACTTACTAAAATGTAAAGCTATTTTCTTATAGAAATATTTTATGAGATCTCAGAAATTATTGTGCTCTACTTACCAGCCAAAGCAAGAATGTATTCTTGAAATCTTGTTCCTATACGGTTAGTGGCTGTGCAATTATATCTTCCAAAGTCATTGTCAGATGTAGGTGCAATCTAAAATAATCATAATAATAAATGTTGAACAATTTTAAAACAATATCACAGCAGCTTTAAAATAGACTCTAGTATGCCTACCATCTTCACACCTGTTCGATTATTTACAACTCCTTGCCATATTCTTTTATTTTTTTTTGTATCAAGTAAGTATCACACCCTTTTAAGATATAATCCATGGACCTATGTTTCCACAGGACTAGGTGAAATATAGTTTAGCTATTAATTTATTAAGTAGATAAATGCCATCATCTACTGCATAGAAAAATTGTTATATATTCATGTATGTAAAGCTCAGAAAGTAGTACACATTTTCCAAAATACATATTCTGCAATCACTGCAGACATGTACTTGAAAACAGAAAACTGTCCCAAAAGGATTATTAGTTAACTCTTCGTTTTCTGTTTTAGCCTCAAGTCAGGCAGACTTAAAGTTCAAGAAAGGTTGGAAGTATATCAGTTATCTTCCTCTGTCATGATTTTATTGAATATAAAATATTAATGAAGGATGAGGACTCATTCTAGAAAAATAAAATTCTTTCCAGGAAGGTATTTTGCAAGAAAAATGTTGCCCTTGTGTAGTAATCCCTGTAGACAGGCATATTATCTTGATAACTAATAACAGTACCTTGCCTCCATTTGCATTCAATTCCTATCATTCTCTTTCATTTTAGGTGCAAAATAGCTGACCTCAATTCTCACACATTTGAAATCCATAATTAAGTTAACCTTCCAGAATTCTATTGCTGAACGTTGGGACCAACCCTGTAATTCTAATGTACCGAAATTCTGAAGTATCAGTTCAGAGCAGAGATTTGATGATAGTAATAGATATAATTTTCAATCCCGGTAACTATTATTAAGGGAGAATATGCTTACAACAAGAGTTGCTGTTAATTTCAACTCTATCCCAAAAGGGGGAAAATGATTTTGTGGTAATGGGAGGCTATTAACTAAAAGTGCAATTTTGAGGTCCATTGAAGATGGTAATTCTGAGAGTACAAAAAAGCTGTGTCACTCATTCTTTGGTTAGCTGTCTATCTAGGAGTAGATCATAAGTTTAAGGATTAGAAACCTTAACAGTTCTTATGTAAGTACTTTTTAGTGATGAAAATACTAATTTTTCTTACATTCAGTTACTAATAAACTAGATAATTTAACTTTAAAATAATTTTACTAGTGAGAAAGAAATCTGCCCCAAAAGTGTCTTCATTTTACAAGCCCTCTGAGAGTTACTTATATAGTCCACAGGAAAGAATGTGTACTGAATCGACACAATGTAGAGACAGGATGGCCATGACCAAGTATCAGAACTATTGTGCAGCTCCTCAATATTAAAAGAAATAATGTAAATATAGCCAGTTTCATTGGAACGACTTTTAAAAGGCTCAATTCAAGTTTTGTTTTGTTTTGTTTTTTTCTTTTTTTTTTTTTAATTTGTTTTCTCTTCCTGGGAGTTTGTCTATCCAAAGATAGAAGTTTCATAATTTTATCTGAAATAATTTGGTGATCATGTTGTATGATTAACAAATACAGAAAACACCCCTAGTAGAACAGATTATTTTAAAAAATCCCACAGATCTAGATATAACCTGACCAAAAATGTGCCTGGCAGTATATTTGATGTGTCTAGGAAAACAATATGAAAACAATGTCCAATAGTGGCTTGATGCCCAATCCCAGAGCAATGAAATAATAGGTGATTTTATAAAAAAATAAAATAATGTACAAATAGGTATATTATAAAGCATGAACTTAGAAATATTTAAATTTAAAATATACCATTTATTGCTGATATTTATCTAAGAATAACTAGGAACATCTTACATATGAAACCACTTTTTCATATTTTAATATGCAGTTAAAATAATTCAAGTTTACTTAAGATGTTGGCCTTTAATAGTACATTATAGAACAACAATATAGTTCTGAATATCAAAATATGGACTGGGAGTACATTGTTGATAGAGAGGTTCACTAATCTTTTTCCTAAACATTCAAAAACTTTATTTCCTTTCTTTGTGTTCCATTGTTAGAAAATCATATATTTAATAGTTAGCATTTTACTTAAGGAACAACAATAGAGAACAATAGAACAATATCATTGCAAGCAATCCATCAGAAAGTTCCTACATCAATTTTTGCCCATATATTAAAAATATGGCTAATTACTTCAGGAAGCACTCAGGAAAAAAAAAAAAAAGAAAGAAAATGGATGACCCGTACAGATGAATTTATTGGCAATAATCCAAAGGATTTAGAGAATATTGTATTGTGTCTTAAAATTCATAAATTTAAAAGACTGAATATATATATTTAGTCAATGTAAAAGGTAAAACCTTAAAAATCAATTCAATAAATCTATTATTGACCAACTTGATATCAACTGCAAACTTGATTTTTCTATATTGTATTACATTTTAAGAATTTGAAATTATGTGACTATTATAATAATTACCAAAAAATAAAAACCAAATCCTAACCAACTATATGTTATTGATTCAAAATTAGTAATCTTTATCATTGCTTTTTTATATAGTTATTGTTATTTTATTATATTTTGTCTTCCTGTTGTATTAGTTAAGCATTAGTTACTTATTCAGGACTTTAATTCAAGTTTTAAATAGTATACACATAAAGGTACATATTCAAGGTCAATGCTTTAACCAACAGACCATGTGACCATGTATAAACAAAAATTGCTTAGTTTTCACTTTGGAATGGAGATGAATGCCATTTTGTTGAAAGATTAAATAATGTGAGAGCTTTATATGAATAAAATATTTAAATATAAAATGATGAATATATTCAGGGTACCTTGGTGGCTCAGGCAGTTAGGCATCTGACTTTGGCCTAGTTCATGATCTCAAAGCTCATGTGTTCATGTCCTGAGTCAGGCTCTATCCTGACAGCTCGGAGCCTGGAGCCTACTTCGGATTCTGTGTCTTCCTCTCTCTCTCTGCCCTGTCCCCAACTACTTTGCCTCTCTCTCTCAAAAATAAATAAAAACCTTTAAAAATAAAAAAAAACGGATTAATATATTTAAATATTGGATTTATAACATGTTTGACCTTGACTATGGAGAATTATGACCTAACCAAGAAACTGAGAAAGAGTAAAATGATGTAAAGTGGAACTTAGAGATTAGGCTCTCATTTAAACATAAACTTAAATCTACCCATTATGGAATGAATAGTATTGCCCCACAAAATTCATATGTTGAAACCGTAACCTCTAATATTTGGAGATAGTGTCTTTAAAGAGGTAATTGAAGTTAAATTAGGTCTTAAAAATGGGTTTTAATGCCCTTATAAAAAGACAAGAAACCAGAGCCTTCTCTTTATGTGCACACAGAAAGTCCATGTGAGTAAATGCTTAGAGGGCACATCTGCACCAAGGGTAGAGATTTCATAAAACAGAACAAAACAAAACAAAACAACCCTCTGGGACCTTGATCGTGGACTTTTAGCCTACAGAAATGTGGGCAGGGGCACAGGTTTCTTTGCTGAAGCCACCCGGTCTGGTACTCATTATTGCAGCCCAAACACACTAACACGGTACCCAAAAACTAAGATATAATCAAACCTTGGTTTTTAACTATGGTTAAATACCTACATTTTAGGTTAAACTACCCAAATGTCTTTGTGAACTTTACATCTGTGTCAATTCATCAATAGCTAGTTCTCCCAATAAAGTTAAAAATAAACCAATTTAATTTGAAATGGATTTAGACAGAGTTAGCTTAGTTATCCAAATATTTAAGGAAGTAACGACTAAATCCTTCTATCAACCAGACATTTCACTAAGTCCAATTACCAGGTAGAAAACTTAACATGGCACAAATGAGAATACCTTGAAGTTAATGTAGTCTGGGTATCAGATGTCATTTTAAACCATACATTTTTAAAATTTACATAAAATGAACTACAGGGAAAAAAAATATAGTATCCTTTCAGCTAAATAAGGCTGGTGGGGAACATTCCTAGTTGTAGTGAAAGAATGATAAACTGGAAGGGTCCCTGATTACGGTCATAGACACACAAACTTTGGAACTGATACAGACACATAATCTGTAGTTAATAAGTAAGAGGTATTGTACTCAAACAGAATTTAAAGCCCAGGCACTTGGCAATATATAAACAATGATGTAAAATCTTAATTTAAACTATAAAATGAAGGGTGCCTGGAAGGCTCAGTTGGTTTAGCGTTTGACTCTCTATGTTGGCTCAGGTCATGATCTCACAGTTCATAAGTTTGAGCCCCGCCTTGGGCTCTATGCTGACAGCGCAGAGCCTGCCCAAGGTTCATTTTCTCTCTCTCTCTCTCTCTCTCTCAAAATAAATAAATAAACATAAAAAATAAATATATATATACATATAAAATATATATACAAAATAAAATGAATGAGGCATTGAACAAGTAAATCTAGTGTATTTAGGAATTTGTAAGTACGTAACAGTGAGAAGTAATATATGCCAGTCTTAGAAAGAAAGCATAACTTCAAAAGCAATGGCTAGGATCAATACTGATATTGAACTTTTGGCCCTCAAAAACTGATGAATTACTCATTCCTTCACACTATGTTTTCATGATATAACTTTTTCCAAAAATTAATTCATGAAAAATAATGGCTTTTGTTATACATTCATATTTCTACATAAGTAAGTTATGAGAAATTAGTCATTAATGGGCCATGATCCAAATGCATAAAAACTTCCCTTTTAAGTAAAGGCACATGAAAAATGTACAATAAGATTTGTAAGTGTATATGTATTACATACAATATATTATATAAATATTTATATTAAGATATTTAAATATATTCTAAAATGGTAGGCAACTGCTAAAATAATACCAATTATTCATATGTACATAAAGACTTACCTCTAATATCATCTTTCTCCCTGCACTGTATGTCTTTAAATTAGTGGTGTTTTTAGCTGGTAAGACTAATTTCTCTCTTCTCCAATGGACTGATGCTGGTGGATTAGATTTCACATCACAGCTTATGTTGATTGGGTTTCCTTCCCAAGAGTAATAAATTGTTTGGTTTGATATAAACTTGGGAGCATCTGTAAGGTAAAATAACACAACATTTATAGACCTTTTCTTTTAGGTAAATAATCAATTAGTTTTAACAATAGTAATTATTACCCGAGACAAAAAGAAGCCACATCAATTGTAATTTCATATATTTAGTGTGTGACAGCAGAACTCATGAAAATATATTATTTGGGGGCGCCTGGGTGGCTTAGTCGGTTAGGCGTCCGACTTTCGCTTAGGTCGTGATCTCGCGGTTCGTGGGTTCGAGCCCCGCGTCGGGCTCTGTGCTGACTGCCAGCTCAGAGCCTGGAGCCTGTTTCAGTCTGTGACTCCCTCTCTCTCTGACCCTCCCCTGCTCACGCTGTCTCTCTCTCTCTCTCCTAGAAATAAATAAAACATTTAAAAAAATTAAAAAATAGGGGCGCCCGGGTGGCGTAGTTGGTTAAAGCGTCCGACTTTCGCTCGGGTCATGATCTCGCGGTTCGTGGGTTCGAGCCCCGCGTCGGGCTCTGTGCTGACTGCCAGCTCAGAGCCTGGAGCCTGTTTCAGTCTGTGACTACCTCTCTCTCTGACCCTCCCCTGCTCACGCTGTCTCTCTCTCTCTCTCCTAGAAATAAATAAAACATTTAAAAAAAATTAAAAAAATTAAAAAATATATATTATTTGACTGTTTCATCAAATAATTTTAAAATTAAAAATATTCAAAGCTGGTCAACTATTAAAACATGAAACATTAGGGGCGCCTGGGTGGCTCAGTTGGTTGAGCGTCCGACTTCGGCTCAGATCATGATCTTGCGGTTCGTGGGTTTGAGTCCCGCGTCGGGCTCTGTGCTGACAGCTCAGAGCCTGGAGCCTGTCTTCAGATTCTGTGTCTCCCTCTCTCTCCGGCCCTCCCCTGCTCACACTGTCTCTATCTCTCTCTCAGGAATAAATAAAACATTAAAAAAATTTAAAAAAAACATTAATGCACAAAATTGCTTTTCATAATCTGAGAAAAAATTATCTTTCCAGTTAATTAATAGCAATGTATATATCTGTTTCTACAACAAACCTCATTAAAAAATGAGAGCTTAGAGTAATGGAATCCGTGGTCTTGTGTCATTTTAAGATCTTGTCATATTCATATAATTTCTTTTATAAGATATTTTGAAGCATATGTAAAATCTAAATTGAAATGTCAATATCACAATTAAGAGACAATTTTTCTCCTGAAATATCATTTCCAGTATTAATTAAGCCAGAGATGATTTAATTTAATTGACAAAGTTGATTTGAAAATTAATCGGTGCCTATGAAGCTCTGTCAAAACTCGGGCCCCTACATTAGACCTCTGTAAAAACAGTTAAGAGAAAACAGGCAATGTTATTATATTGTTTTATTAAATAACAATTATGGAGACACACAAACATGGTTTTTAGCCTTGCTCCATGTAACCCAGGTGCCAATAATCATAACCTCTGTGTATCAATATCTTGACTTTATAAATTATTTGAGACAATTTATTTTTAAAATTTTTACTAAAAATCACAATCCTAAATTAAGTGGTAGCTAAAATGTTGCTGGAATTTATGTTGATTTATTGTTGATATTATTGTTATTAATATTAACTATTTAGAACTTCATATCACTTTACAAATTATCAATATCAGTTAATCAAGTTTAAATGTTTTGTTTTACTACCCCTAATTACTTAAAAATGAGCTATACAAATTCTGGTATATCAATAGACTATATATCTGATATATAAGAATTATAATCTATAGTACAAATACACAAGTAATTTTAAAATCCTTGTCTTTTATTTGTCTCAGTGTGTATTTTTATTGCCAATCTCAAGGAGTGGAATATTTTTATAATATTTGTATGGAATATTAATTGAATGTTTTCTACATAAGACAGTAGGATTATACATTTTATTCCATTTTATCTTTTTAATAACCTTGTGAAGAAGATGTTATCATATTTGAAGCATGAAGGATCTTGACTAAGGGCTGTCAAGCTTATTCTAGCACTAAGTTGTAGGTCTGGGATATGTATGAATATAGGGTGATTTTAACCAGAGGCCACTCATTAGATATCCATTCAACCCAGGAACAAAATTATATTATTCAGTGCTAGCAATGTTTTGGTGAAGTGGACCCTATCATACATTATTGAAGGTAAATACAATTTGAATAATCCCTTAGGAAGATAAAGAACCCTAAAAAGCTTTATCATTTTGATTCTGCAATCCAGTCTTAGGTATCTCTCCAGATAAAATAAATAGAAATATCCAAAGCTTACATGAAGGACTTTTAATGCATTGTTATCTGAACAAAAACTCAAAACAACTTAATGTCCCTCAAAAGAGAATTATCTAAGTAAATAGTAACACATTTGGGCACTTAGGTGTGCTTAAATATCACACAGACATTTCTACCTATGGGTATCCTCAGCTTGCAGTGTGTCTGCCCTTCCTTTCATCTGACTGCCTTCAAAACTAAGCCCCACACTTCTTCAATGGAGCTCTTCCACAATCTTCAATTGTGCTCCTGTGCTTTGTGCTCCCACAGAGTCTGTGTTTTCCCTCAGTATGGTCATTGGAAGTATAGGCATTGGAAGAATCTATGTCACTGTGTTTTCACTAAATGATCTGAACCTCATGGGTTAAGATGTGTCTTGGTCACAATTATATACCTGATAGCTTAAAGATGCTTGCTCGACTCTCAAAAACTGTACATCAAATGTACTGGAAATTAATATCAATTAATTTCAATTCCTCAACTCATTTATATTGAACAGAAGATATTTCCAAGGAAAAAGGGAAAAAAAACAACAACAACTTTGCAAGGTCTGGGAAGATTAGGTGAAAAATCTAGGAACGTATGACTAATTCAGGTGCAAGTGCAAGAGAAACCAAACTTCTTGATGTTCAATGTGAAAAGCTAAGGTTATATAGATATACAGCTCTATCTATAAAACATTTTATTACTCTTAATAAATATGAAATATAATCTCTTTAACATTATAAGTTTTGGAGGAAAGGTTAATGGATAATTTATTTGCATATATATATATATATAGCCCAATATGAAAATCATACATGCTAATGGAGCTATTAATAGCTGGCTGACTCACAGTCTACTCTGCCCATGATGTGGCATCTGTATGAATATGTATTATATTATTATAATCTGACCATAAACTTAGGGCAAGATTTGATTTTTCTATAAAAGCAAGCAATTGCTACTAATTGTTTGCCTGATGATCTCAGTAGGAATTTAATTTGAAATCACTGATGTTGAATACAAACATGCTACAGGCAATACATGCTATACTGAAAGGCACATTAAGAAAATGTATTTGTGGTGTGAGGCAAGAAAATATTGATAACTTCCATCTACAATAAAACATAAAGCAAATCCCTATACATTACACGCTTTGTAGATATCAAAACAGTAGCAAGGCAGCAATATTCACTGGCACAAGATTGGCATGTTAATAAAACTGACTGACTGGTGTTGGGTCATTGTTTAAAGAAAGATAAGACTCTGGCACAGGCAACAGGTGAAAACTCCAGGCTAAAAACAAGCGGCCATATTTCATGTTGATAAATCAAAAATAGTAATTTTCAGAGAACTGGCCTTTTTAAAAAGTAGGACTGTCACATCATGAAAGACTTCAAATATGGTGCAGAGGAAATAAACTTAGGCAGTTAACAAAACATCAGGGGAAGGAGAATGAGAGAGGAATGTGGCATAAGTAAACCATCAAGAAATGGAAACATCTCTCAGGGCATTATATGTTCCTCAAATCCTATTAAATAAAATAAATTAAAATAAATATATGTCTTTAAATAGTCTACAATTTTCAAAATAAAATATCCTACAAATTTCAATAAACAGAAGTAACTTTATGGGAAAAACATTTTTTTTCTGAGCAAAGTAGTGAAAAAATTCAGAGAAACCTGAATAGTGAATGACAAGATAAAATATGTCGTTCACTGGATGAAAAAGTAGCAGTGTCCCTTCAGAAAGCTTCAGGGAGCAAGAGAACCGAGCAAAGTAGCAAAAATGTCCTACTTGACAAAACTTTTGTCAGACTTCTATAACCCTTTTAAAAAATGTTTTATGTATTTATTTATTATTTGTTATTATTTTTTATATATGTACTTTATTGTCAAGTTAACTAACACACAGTGTATACAGTGTGCTCTTGGTTTTGGAGGTGGGTTCCCATGATTCATTGCTCACATACAATATCCAATGCTCATCCCAACAAGTGCCCCCCTCAATGCCCATCATCTATTCTTCCCTCTCCTTATTTCCCCATCAATCCTCAGTTTGTTCTCTGTATTTAAGAGTTTCTTATGGTTTGCGTCCCTCTATTTGAAACTATTTTTTCCCCTTTTCTTCTCCCATGGTCTTCTGTTAAGTTTTCAAGTTCTACAAATGAGTGAAAACATATGATATCTGTCTTCCTCTGACTATTTATTAGAGAGAGTGTGGGCAAGCAATGGGGGGGGCAGAGAAAGAGGGGAACAGAAGATCAGAAGCAGGCCCTGACATCAAAGAGGCTGACAGCAGAGAGCCTGAGAGTTCATGACCTGAGCCAAAATCCAATGTTTAGCCAACTGAGTCAACCAGGTGCCCCCCGTAAGCCCTTTTATAAGGACTAGGGTTTATCCTCAGGCCCTTCCTTTATCGGCTTCTTCCTTTAGTAAAGAATCCTAAGTCAGCTAAGTGGAAATCTTTCTTTCCTTGATATCTCCGTATATTTGAAATCTGATCAAATTCCTTATTACTTACCCTTAATGCTCATGTCTGTGGCTCACATTTATAAGAATTTTGTGAGGTTAGTTTAGCAAGAATCACATTATATTTGAAATGTAATCAAGTCTCTTTTAGTAATTTTCCATCCACTGGCTTCTGTCATTTTACTTATTGGCTATAAGTCTCCACTTGTTCTTGCTGTATTTAGAATTGAGTTCAATCGCTCTCCTCTATTGCAACAGTCTTGACCCTTCTTGTAATCAATTTAAATACAAGTC